CTACAAACCCTTTGATTCCCTTTAGTTTCTAAAAAGGGGTGGGGGTGGGGAAAGGAGGTTTCAAAGAGTGCATCAGTTGATGGTGACAGCCTGAATTGGACGCTTGCTATCCTGGACAAATTAGAGCTGAGCAAACACGTGGCAGCAACAGGCTGTTTGGAGCATTGGTCTGCATGACAAAATATATTTTGATTCTAACCACAAACATTTGCTTTTGAATGTGCACCAGAGAGCTTGGGTGGGGTAATGGGTACATAGCACTATTATGAAGTGGTGGTATTACCTCATTTCAGGAACTGGAACAGGAGGTGGAGCAAAAGTGAGTGGGTGCACACTGCCCAGCTGTGCTGCTGGGTGGAACATGGAGATGGTACAAGTGTGACGTCAGATCCCAGGTTGAATTCAGCAGTTCAGCAAGAAAATACTTGCAAACAATATTTATTTAATCAAGCAATCATGATGAGACTTGACATTTATGGATCCTATGGCAAAAGCAGTCAAAGAGTCACACTGGTATTGGCATATTCCAGCGTCACGACCATTCATTATGATGCACTTAGGAGCGGTCTTTTAGGCCTGTGCAAAGCAGCTAGTATTCGCTTTGGATTTGGCCGATGCGAGGGACGGTGATTCAATTCAGTGATTTGAATCACTGTCCTGAATCAATTCGGATGAATCTCCAAATCACACAAGCCCCATCCCCCCCGTCTACTCCCCCAGCCCAGCAATGGCTGTCCCGCCTGCCCCAGCTCCTGGCACTTTGACCAAAAAAGCCCCAACTCACCAGGTGCTGCCAGGTGTGAGTGTGGGGGGGGGGGGGACGATCCCCACTGCCCCACGCTGCATGGCAGGCTCTGCACTAGCCCCCTACTCCTCCCACACTGTCCCAGCCCCCTCATGGCTGCCCCCGCCCCACCAGCTCTGGCCCTTTAAGGAAACCCCCCCCCTCAAACCCTGGACTTACCAGGTGCTGCTGCTGGGTGGGGGGCAATCCCCGCTGTCCCCCCCTGCCCTGCCACA